TCCACTGATTTCTATACAATTCATAACGTCTTGATTAAATTATCAGTGTGCTTGTAACATATTTATCTTGTTTGTTTTATTATAAATGTAATATATTTTATACCGTATATTCATAAATTTATATATCTATTACCTAATAGGTGTATATCTGATAATAAATATATTATTGTGCAAAAGTTTATCCGAAACGAACGAAACGTTTCTGTGAAATTCATGAATGAATATTTATAATATAATTCTTGATAACTACCGATTGCTATTTTGTCGATATAATAAAATTCCTTGATCTGATAATTTCACCGATCTATACAAATAATTTGCTACAAAGAATATTGGTTGCAAAAATAAATATAAAGGTTTTTACTGTTATATGAGAGCCTTAAGTACGCTTTACTTCCTATTCCTTTAGGAATTTATAAAATAACTTTCTTTAAAGGTCGAAAACTTAAATCTTTATATACTAGCTATTCGAACAGCGTAGTTAGTTAATATTTTTCTTAAAAGATTTGCAGTAAGATGATAATGGGGTGTAGTTAATGGATATAAATAATGGACGCCTACTTCATGCGAAGTGATTGCGTAATTTTAAGACTGTGTAGATGCTGATGCTTTTAACTCAGTGAAAATTATCTGTATAAATATATAAATATATCATATATATTTACTGTAATTGTAATATTACAATATATCGATGAAGGACAAGATATTTTGTAGATATATGTGAGTATGTAAACTCAAAGCCGTTACTTGCTTCGCAAAGAAAAACGCCTGAACAATGACAAAATTGTATATGTGACGACTAACAAAAATAAAATAGACGAATTAAGAGGCTCCTTATAAAAGTTAATTATTAAAGGGAACTTAATGCTAACATTGTTTTAGCGTTAAAAGTAGTTAAGCTGTAATAGTAAAGTAAGTAAGTAGGAGTGGTAAAGTAAGTAGTAGTAGTAAAGTAAGTAAGTAGTAATAAAGTAATTAAGTTAAGCAATAAGCGAATGCCGTACATATTTATATAATTTTATTATCATCATTTCAGCCGTTAACGGTCTATTGCTGAACATAAGTCTTCCCCATACGGGGAGTTTCGCCAGTAGTTGACACGCTCGGTTTTAAAATTGGCGAATTGGTTGGCAACCGTAGAGATGTTTTAAGAAAGACACTTTTGCCCATACTTTGAGCATTCCTATTTTTTTTTAATGTATGATAATGGAGTGGTAACCCTTCCAGCGCTAACGGTATACGCTGGCGGGGCATCAGTCAATGATGATAGGTGAGAATGAATGAACTAACTTGCCTTTGCGCATTGTGATTAATTCACCTGGAATTCAGCACGATGGTTTCCAGGGGGAACCACGTGGAGGTAGACCTGGTTGGGCATATCGCTAGCAATATGACTAGTAGTCCGCATTACTAGGAATCCCTCCACCCCCCTCGAGCATTTCTTTAGTCGATTATACGAGGTCTGTCCGGAAAGTTCGTATAAAAGTGTTCTGGAATGCGAGAAAGAGGAGTGGGGAGGCCAGGTAAGCGCAGGACCCCTTCCTTATGTCCCTAACAATGCTTCAGTTCTGGTCTGACCGCCGTGCGGTGCGAACTGGCTTGTCACGCCATCTGTGAAGTTACCTCTTAACGAAACCCCGTCGGCATGGAGCCCGCTTCCGTTGAAGAGCAGCGCGTCGTAATCAAGTTTCTCTCGAAACTCGGCAAGAATGGCCGTGAAATTTTTGCCGATCTCAGAACAGTTTATGGGGATGATGCTGTGAAGGAACCAACCGTCCACAAGTGGCTAAAACGATTCAGAGAGGGCCGAGAAAGCGTTCAAGATGACCCACGTTCAGGACGTCCTTCCACTTCACATTCCGACGAAAACGTGGAAAGAATTCGAACTTGTGTTAATGGGGACCGTCGTTTAACGGTCAGACAGGTGGCTGAAGAGCTTAATTTGGGCAAAACCGTGGTCCACGAAATTCTAAGAAACGAACTTCAAATGAAAAAAATTTGCGCCAAGATCGTTCCGTGAGTTTTTGAGTAAAAATTCCATTACGGTGACCGAACACCCCCCTATTCGCCGGATTTGGCCCCGTGTGACTTCTTCTTGTTCCCAAAAACCAAATTGGTACTTCGGGGGCGGCATTTGGGGGACATAAATGAGATAAAAAAAGCTACGACGGGGCAGCTGAGAAACCTACAACCAGAGGACTTTCAAGGAGCCTTCTCACAGTGGAAACGGCGTTGGCACAAGTGCATTATGTCACAGGGGGAGTACTTTGAAGGGGATAAAATTGATTTACCTGAATAATTGTAAAATAAAATTTTTAAAAAACTTTTATACGTACTTTCCGGACAAACCTCGTATACAAACCTATTTGATCCATATATAAAATATTTTTATATAATTTTTTAACGGCCATACTAGCCATTCGTCATCATAAATTTATATTGACGAATGTCCCACCACATGTTGCAAATGGGTTATACACTTTTTTATTACTTAAACGCATTACAGAGTATCGGTATCATAAAATACGACACAGGGGTTTATTTCTTCAGCGATAAATTTCTTCCATACTTACAGTTACATTGACAAATGGTAAAACTTGTATGACTAATGGAAGGGCTATTATTGGTTGATGCTCGATAGAGTTTTTCTACGATAATACAATGATATTATAATAAAAAAGGTAGATAGGTACGTTAGGAGCGGTCGAAAATGATACCTGACCTTAGCGTTTCTATTACACTAGCTTACACTTCTTTATAACTTTCTTTGTTGTTCGGAACATTTTTTCATTTGTTTTCAGAGCGTATTTTCAATATGAGATCGTATTTTTAGATTATTGCTATATATATAATGTATGTATCATGTATCAGTAGTCGTGAATTTAATATATATATCGTTAACTGTCCACTGCTGAACATTGTCGGTAGTTGCCAACGCTTGGCAGGCAGGTTGGCAACCGCAATTAGGATTTTATTGATGTTTTAAGCAGGATGCTGCTGTCTTGGGCCATTAACTTATATTAACATATATATATATATATATATATATATATATACACACATACACACTTATACTTAAAACCTAACTGCGGTTTCTTACTCTTATTTATACAATAAAGAATTGGCAAATAAGATGGCGGCTTCCCTAATGGAAATTAGATACCATTGCCTACAGACACAGATACCATAGACTACACTGGGACACCCCTGATATCGCTCATGAATTTCACGTCTGTACTATAATTAAATAGTTCGAAGCTTGCCGTTTAGCAGTCTCTACTTTAAAATACTAATATTGTATGAAAATTTAATATGTTCGACTTAAGTAACTTTCTGGTTTTAAGTACTTTTAGATGAAATCACTTTGTAGCGCCGCAGAATATGTAATTACAATTCACAATTCACGCTACAAGGAAAATGTTTCACTTAGAAATACGGATACTTGTTATAATTATTTTTAAGTACAAAGATAAACGTGTTGCTCGGATTTATGTTAAAGTATTATTTAATAAAGAATATAATAAATATTTGGAATTTAGAAATATTTAAAATATTCGCATACTGTTAATGCTGATTTAATTTTAATTTAATTTTCGTTTGACCATATGTCTACTGTCTAATTTCGATATTATTTAATATAATGAAATATCCAATAATACTCGTAATTTAATTACAATATTTAGCCGGCGACCCTCAGGTACGATGTTTAGTATTCCATATTAAAATGGTAGAAAGAAAAACTTTTAGCACAGTGTCTTAGTCTTCATACAGTGGTTTATCTCCCATAGAAACTTCCATAAACACTAAAATAACTTACTTAGTTTTATATGACATTTCATATTTTTTATTGAAAGGAAGAAAGCGTTGCGAAGCTTGGCATTTTTTACATTTTATGATTTTGATGGGATCTCATTTCTTTATGTAGGTCAACCTCCTTTTTTGTTCTCTGGAAAATACATATATAGATGTCGTTCATCGACTATAAGCGTAATGCGTTATTTGAATTAATGAACGTATTTTTAATAATCATTATTTTTCATTTAATGATAATTAATAATGAAATTTCATGTATTTTTCATTAATTCTTTTCTTTTTAGGATAAATGCTAACTATAAAGGTCATAATTTGGAGTTTATTATATTTCTAGGAGTACCTTCAAATTTTAATAATCGACGAGTGTATAAGTGACATAATTAAGAAATTTTTAATAGCGACAATTCATAAACTATAAGGTATAAATATTAAGCATATTGTCATATAGACAATTATAATATATCTGTTTGATAATTAAAAATTAAAACTTCTTGCTTTATCCACAATAAAGTTATAGGAGGGTTAAGTGCTGTGTGACAGTTCGAGAAAAGGATTGTACAGTTGTGCTCGCTTTGCAGAGGCATTGCCGTACCACCTGATATGGCGTTTGGAGACTGAGCCCATGGGTCACTGAGACCATGGAGCTTTTCAAAGAGACCGGCTGGTAGAAAACTCTGGCGATCAGAAGGCTGGTCAACTCGTGTATTTTGGCCAATTTGTCTTTATCGTTATTAAGCGTAGTAATGCGACTAATGTCCTCTGTATCCTACTAGACAGTAGTGACCTCAAAGAATTTTTTTACTTCACAATTAAATATATTTTAATGTTAAATGTATATTAATCTCTCTTAATTTCTGTAAAGTAGCACAGATTTATGTCTACCGTGAATTAGTAGTGTTTGCATGGCTGTGTTTCGGTTTGAAGGGTCGGATATGGCAGTGAATTTACAGTGTTCAAAGGAATAACACCTAATTCCTCAGGAATGGCAACGTATGAGGGGTATGATGGGCGAAACAGTATACTCTGTTATGTTCATGATACTGCTCACGTCGCATTATCGCTTTCCATCAGGTGGGCCGTCAGCTTGTTTGCCATTCTAAGATGTATAAAAAAAGAATAAGTATTTATAAATAGATAAATAAGTTACTTAATGTTTATACTAATTAAAGTAATTTGTTTTGTTTCAGGAAGTAGCAATGTACCCTCAAGAGAACGGTAGTCTTCATATATCAGAAAACTCAACAGACAGCGAATACACTCCGTATGAAGATAGATTAGAGACATACTTGGTGCCAGTGCTCTTTGCAATCATCTTTATAGTGGGAGTCCTCGGTAATGGCACTCTGGTTATTGTCTATGTGCGACACAGGGGCATGAGAAATGCACCTAACACGTAAGTGGTCTCTATTTATCTATCTATTTAAGAGCTGCGCTCTTGTAAGTGGTCTCGGCTATTATAATTTGTTTCAATAGAATTTAATAAAATTATAACTAAATTATGTTGAAATTATCACAGAAAAACTATTTATTTAATTCTTTAATGACGCATTATTATTCTCATCCTGTCCATATCGATATGACCAGGCGATGGTTACAGCTTTCCATCAAGTAGGCCCTTAGCTTGTTCGTCATTCTAAGTATTATAAAAAAGAGGAGATGCGGTTGTTATTAATAGAACCTCTCTGCTCCATTATTAGCAATATTCCATTCCTTTTTACCTTCACGTATTTCTCCTTGAAAACCATCGTGGTTATTTATTATTGAATTTGTTACCATGAGCCAACTGATTTATGCTCATATATCATCTCTCTACCTCGCTAGTGTAAAGCGGTAGTACGAGCAGGGTTACTGTTTCATATACATAAAAAGGTATCATAAAAAAATCTCCAGGCTGTAAGAGTTTTAAGAAATAAAACTCAACATCAATCCTTTCTTTTAATAGGCAGCCCTTGTCAATATGTTAGTAGTAAAGAAATGTTTTTTGAAATTTTATTTATATATGATGTTTTGGTTCTGCTATATATTAAATGTTATATCATTTTTCGAAACGATATAAATGGAAATGTAATGCTAAAGGTCTCCAGACCTTCAGCACTTAGTTATCTCTGCCTACGCCTGCCGCAAGGGACACGGTTTGAAAATAGATATGTAAATAGGTGTGTTGACGTAGTGACTTTGGTTAGGTTAGGGTTGAACTCGTCTATTGCGCACCCTTCTACAAGTGTGTCTCTTTATATTTGTACAATGTGTAATTCCGATAGAAAAGCAAAGGAAATTTTAAAAATAAAATTTCGAGTATCATCCCCGTGCTGCTAAAAAATGTTTATAACTCAGTACTAGATAGAGTGACAACCTAAAATATATTGCAGCTAGTCATTAAATGCAGGTGGCTCAGGACCATTTATGGCAGTTTACTAGAAAGACTTATGTATAACAATGGACAATTAACAGCTGAAATGATTACTATAATAATTACATTATATCCATTATAAGGTTGGAAGAAAGTTGAAAGGCAACCCATGTACTGATCGGACGAGATAACAAAAACAGCAGGCATGAACTGAGGGGCTAAAACCCCTGTTGTATACAAATTATAATAGGATTTATTTTGTACGCCAATGTAAATGTACTATTCCGTTAATATTACGTCTATAACGACCTAAACGCTAGAGATATGTTAAGCAAATCGTATTATAGTTCTTGTAAAGTGGGCTTTTTTAATGGAATGGTAACTACATTATCAGTAGATACTGGTGGAGCACTAAAGAGAAACAATAGATCAGGATGAAGTAGATTAATTGGATCACCGCGACAATTTCAGCAATAAAACAATCAGTATGTTTTCAAGAAAAAACCGCATGGAGGATGACCTGATAGGGGTCCCGTTAGGGAAAAGGAATATTGCTAGCAATGGGGTTGCTAATTTCTATAACTAACAATCCCTTCTTGATCTCAGTGGCTTTTTTATCCCATGTACATATACACGGCGAAGAATCGATCAAATTACTAAGCCTTGATTCTTCAGGGTTCAGTCGAGTTCGGGAATAGATCTCTGGCTATTCTCGATGAATAAAGTCGGAATAAGATAGAACCAATAATAACCTGTGTTCTTTCAAATACAGTACCTGATTTATTTTACTATTTTTATGATGCAAGACGTACAAATGTTCTTTAATAAACCGTTTGTTACAGATACATATTCTCATTAGCGTTAGCGGACCTGCTAGTCATTCTGATCTGCGTTCCGTTTGTCTCCATCATCTACACTCTAGAGTCGTGGCCATGGGGCGAACTGATCTGTAGAATTTCCGAAGCAGCAAAGGATGTTAGCATCGGAGTTTCCGTGTTCACGTTAACCGCATTATCGGCTGAGAGATATTGCGCTATTGTGAACCCGTTTAGAAAACTACAAGTAAGTTATTGTTCATTTTACTTTATAATAACTATGCTTGTGACTTCGTTCATTTAACTGGGTTTCTATGTTCTTTTCTCTTATCAAATTTTACATGTATATTATCTTTAATCAAGAGTGGGCGTGCTTATAATCGTGCGTAATAAATCAACTGATTTTCACATTCACAATATTGGTAAGGACTAAAAAGGCCCATACATCTATTTTATTTATAATTGGCCTTTTTTTCTGCTACATCCTACGTGTGGATTTTGGAAATAAGAAAACCAATGAAGTATAACCATTTTTAGATGACGTATCAAGATAAAACGTACAGATTTTAAGTTAGACCTTTAGGAATACAACTATGAAAGTTATATTCAATTTAGTGCAGTAATTTTCTGGTATTCTGAGACAAACATACAGACAGACAAAATATCTAAGAATTATTGTTTTGGGTTCTATCGCTCTTATTAACTCCTCATATCAAATTTAATTAAATATCCTCAATGTACAGACATCGTGTAGATACGATTTTATTATATTAGTAAACTTCTAAGATTCGGGAATTTGTGACTGTAATTTAAAATACGATATATCTAATATACAATAATTAAAGAGTGAAGCCTAAATAATGTCCTAAAAGTAGACCTAGCGTCTACTTTTACACGGTACACTCCTGCAATTAATGCGAACACCATATCTGTTTGTAAGAGTTTTATTAAAAAAAGCAAACCTCCAACACGCTTGTAACGACATGTAATTCTTTAAATATACACATAATTTATAACAAGCCATGTGGTCCTGGCATAGAATAGGCCACCCCTTTCTTTTCTGTGGGTGTCGTAAGTGACGACGGCAACAGAGTCCCTCTTAAAAGATCACTAAAGCCTAACTGCGGTTTCCAATGCAATTGCCGACCAACTTCTGGCAAAAGGTGGAGGTTTGTGCTCAGCAGCAGTGGACAGTTAAATGCTGATATAATATGATAATAATGATCACACATAATTAATTTTATTCAATGCATAACTCGACAATAATATGCCGATACATTCTAGTATAAATAACTAGTTTTTACTTATAACTTTGTCCACTTGACCAGAATACATCGATTGACTGAAAAAAAGTAGCCTATGCCTTTCTACATTTAATATGTTAGGTGTATACCAAATTTTATAGTGACTGGTTAAGTTTTTAAGGCTCTAAATGAAAACAAACAAACAATTTCTCATTTATAATATCACTAAGCATTTTTACAGGCGTAATGCCTGTAAAAATGAGTATTTTATAATAATAGCGATATAGTATTGAGTAAAAGATAAATTTGAGATGAATAAGAACTTGTTAGTTATTTCCTGGCCGAACGGATGGAATATGTGGATACTGCTTTGAATACAACAAAAATTTGCATGGACTACGAATTCGTGAAGCTAGAGCATTATACTGTCAGGAAATGATCAATCAGTCCCCTCAGTCATGAATATCGGAACGGCGGAACATCCTTTCCTTTTCTTATCTCCACTCAAGCGCTATCTACTAACTTTTTCAAATCTTCTCTCTTTTCTTGGATGTTTTCTGGAATTTTCAATGCTTTCAATTTTTATATAGTTTATTTGTCAATATTGGTTAAATAAGGTATTCTACTAATATGATAGACGTGACAATTTGTTAAGTATTTAATCTTGTTTAAACGGCTGACAGAATTTGAAAAAAAATTGGTACATAGATAGGTTATATTGTAACTTATATATTATATATAAGATATTATATAAACTGACTTTCATAAGGTAGAGTTTCTCAATTTATTTAAATATTTTTATACTAAAATATCAAAATTTGGCAATAAATATTATTAATGTGAAAAGAGTTTGTTTGTTTATTACTTCTTAGCGCCTTCATGACTTATCTAACAGTAATTGTCATGCTTAGCAGATGGATTAGCAACCGTAGTTGGGCTTTGGTGACGTTTTAAGAGGTACGCTGCTGTCTATTGTTCGACCATTTAATTCCCTTAGTCGCCCTTACGACGCCCATGGGAAGGAAAATGGTAGCCTATCTACGCCGGGACCACCCATGATATAATAATAAGTATTTTAATAATAAAATATTTAAACTAAACTAATATTATCGAAAGCTAAGAAAATATTTCTTGTTCGTAATGGTTAAACTGAAACATATTTAACAGATTTAAAAAAACATTTCATCTCTAAAAGTTATGTTTTTAATGGGTCATAATTAAATGGTAAACTCGCAAACGCTGGCGAGGCGGGGCATAAGTGAGGGATCATAGGTAAGGATGAAAGAAGTTCAGTTGGCCCATAGTAACGAATTCTACTAGGATTAACAACGATGACTTAAAGGGGGAACCACGTAGTCGACCTAATAGGGTGTTTTGCTAGCAATGAGGTAGTTAGACCCCATTATTAACAATCTCTTCTCTCTAGAAAGCTACATTATCAACAAGTAACATGGACTGTATGTTATTATCATGAATATTAGAAATCTTCTTCTTTTATATTCGAGCGAAGCCAGGGCATGTCTTTAGTATTATCATAATTTTGCATATGTTATATAAACTGTGAAAGTAAGCAGTGATGTATCTAAAAGTTTTTAGCAATTATCTACCTTATTATTAAAATTGCAAGATAGGTAATTGCTAAAAGGTTTTACCCTATATTGTACTTTGTACTTATAAAACTTTTCTTCTTTCTTATTATTTCTGCAAGAGGATTTCTTAACAAGCTATTAAGTATAATATTATATTTTGAGCAGCCGTATGATTATGTTCAAACTTTAGAGTTTTCTTCATTATTAATAACAGAATATTCGCTTTTGACAATGAAAAGATTTAACTTTGGAATATATAATTAATGTTTATTAAAAGTAAATCTTCTGAAAAGTATTACGAATTATAAATTAAAATGTATATATTATGTATTGCTGAGTTTTTAACTAAATTCTCAATTTATATTTTCTTGTATGTTACGTGACAACTTCGCCAATTAAATACCAATTAAACTTTATTTGATCAAGTTTCGATTTGGGGCAAACATAATCTTGTTCAATTCAACCCTAAGAAGACATAAATCTGCTCTTTCATTGCAAAAAAGACGCTGTTTGTCGTCTGTCCTCATTTTCAGAGCACTCTTCTTGATAATAAGTTCTAGAGTCAACTTCTTTCGTTCCTTGGCGTTGATATATCCAGCGATGCCCAGTTTTGCGGCCATCTGGAGGAAAATGCTGAGATGTCGTCCAAAAAGTTAGGAAAGCTCAATACAGTGAGATGGTATTTCACACTGGAACACTGCTTGCAATTGTATAAAGTTCAAGTCCGGCCACATATGAAATTCTGTTCTCACCTATGGGCAGGAGCACCACAGTACCAATTTCTTTCGTTGGATTGCTTTTAAAGTTTAAGAGTTTAGAATTCGACTTTATGTATTTTTTTTACCTATACACATGAACAGTACCGTGGATATAACAGAGTATACTGTGTAGCCCATGATACCCTTAATGCGTTGTCATTCCTGAGGATTAAGATGTTATGCCTCTGTACCTTGTAATTTCATTGCCATATTCCACCCTTCAAAGTGAAAGTCCGTCGCCATGTGGTCTCGACATAGAATAGGCTACCCCTTCCTTTCCCATGGCTGTCGTAAGAGGCGACTAAGGGAGGGCGAGGGATGTGCAGCAGAGTCCCTCTTAAAACATCTCCAAAGCCCAACTGCGTCGTGACTGACGTATTGGCAACCATACGTCTGTCAAGCGTGGCAATTACTGGCAACTCTTTTTGTTTGTCAATTTCTGTTTCTTTAAAAATATTTAATCCACACCTGGTATATGTAATAAGTAGCCTTTATCCTTCCTCAATATTATGTGCGTGTCAAAGTTTATGAATGTTGATTGACTGATTAGGCTTTCAAGATTATAATGTTTTAAATATTTTTTTTGTTTATCTATTACCTCTTAGAATGTTGACTTCTTTTTCTTTTTCCGCTCTTTATTCTTCTCCTACCTCTGCATCTTTTTTACCTTATTCCAATTTTGTCTTGCTTTTTCTCGTTATTCACTAATCATAATCATGTAGCGCCATTTATTCCTGTTACATTGACTGCTCACCCAATATTAGTAAGATTATTGCCATACGGCTTCTTATTGTAATCCGATGTTCTATTATTCTTCTATAAGACTTTCGTTTCTTAGTATAACACAATACAATGTCTCGAGAAAATTATATCACGATGCAACTGTGTCCTATTAAATTTGTATTCAAATGAGACAAAGTCTGCATTGCCAACAAAGTTGGATATACTTTTTACCTACTGTAGTTATATTTTAGATAGGCAACGCCCGACTGTTTGGATTTTCTGCAATTTCCATTTTAATATGTATTATTGAAAGACTTGCATTTTATTTTTTGGACAGTATAAAAACTCTACCTATAAAATCTAAAAGTTCAATTTTATTCATTATACAAACTCTGTTAGTACACATCTTGACCAACTTAGTCAAGATGTTTATTACACAATTGCGCCTAAACGGCTGATTAGATTTGAATGAAATTTTGGTGTATTTATGCGATAACTCTCTCAAAAATTTAATTATGTTAGCCTACAAGAAATAATTTTTAAGGAGTAGAATAATACGTTGATATTATTCTTCTTAGGTAGTTGTCACCGTAATTCAACATGGAATCACCAGATAGTACAATAAAACATGTGAATGAATGAATGAATGAATGAAATTTCGTTTTAATGTATTTCTCATTAACATTAATCATTGTTAAATCATGATGTTCGTGTTCTCATTATAGACGACGAATATCGTAATCCATCAAGTAGAGGTATAATACAACACACAAGGTACAATAAAACAAGTGAATGAACGAATGAAATTTTGTTTTAATATTTTTTCAAAAAAAAAATTAATTGTAATCAACAGATTACATAATTTATTCATTCATTAACATTCATTCCACTTTACAAATTCAATGCTAAGCCTCATTAATTAACATAATATTA